TAATCCCGGGGGTAGACCTATCTACTGCTGCATATCATCTGGACTTCTTAGCCTCCTTTCACTTGGTCTAGAATGTTGTCCTGCTGTTTAGGAGTGGGTAGTCTTTGCTGGGTTTTATCATAAATCAAGACAACAGATAATTGAAAATTGAATAATTTTTCACAGTTCTTTTTTTGTCTGTGCTGAATTTTATCCTTGACACAAATGTTTGCTAGTCGTTTCGTTTTTTTTTTTTAACAAACTTATTACTTTGCCATTAAAAAATGGAATTTTTTGGGGGAAAGTAATCAGCTACATTGTCGTTTCGTTGGTTCTGACTATGTCTTGATATATAAATTTTACCCTAAATATATGTGCCCATTATGAGTAAGTATTTGATTTTTTTTATGTACTTTCATAAGAATTGGCTAGATAGTCATGAAACCAGGAACATTTAAAAACATTAGATGATATTTACATCATAATAAAGCTTTCTCCTGATAGAGAGTTAAAAATACATGGTAAAAAAACCACTACATCAGATTTCCTGATTTTTAGTTGTTCAGACTATCTTAATCTAAGTAAAGAAGAAATTCTTTATCACTAATGAAGATTAATCAGGGTAATCAGAATTCCTAGGAATATTTTTTTCACAAAAGAGATAGTATCATCTCTATTTATTATTTTCCCCTTCACTTTTATTAAGCAAAATTACTTATCTTGTAGATTGGTGTTTTCAAACTGCATAATGTCACATTAATGAGTTCTAAGGTCAACTTGGTGAGTCACAAGCAGAATGCTTTATGCAGTTAGTAGCCTGTGAAGAGCTCTGTGTAAAGGTTAATGCATTGAGTAAAAGGGCAACTGTTATTTTGTGATACTTTAGTTATAAATTATGTACACTAAATGATATTATGTGGATTTTTTTTGCCTCTTGGTTAGATTTTGGTTTTTAGCTATTATTTATGGCTCAAAAAATTCAAAGATTCGGTGTAGATGTTTCATTTCAGCCATGTAGTGCTTTTTTTAATTTTGTAACATGTTGTTATATAAAGTACAGTAGTTATCCATTCATCCACCATACTGAGTATTATTATAAATATCTTTTGTGTACAGAAACATATCTAGAGACTAATTACCTACCACTAAAATTACTAGATCAAAAGTCCAAATACAATTTTTCTAAAACATCAATTATTGTTCTTTAGTTCAATATTTATTAATTCTCTTACTTGCTACATGTATTGTAACACCCTAATAAGTATTTCTAGTATTTTTACTGTCATATGGTGTTTTAGGTATCAATAATGGTAAGAAATGTATGACAGTTTACATATTGCCAACACATGAAAACAATGTGAGTTCATTGCATTCCAGGTCTCTAAATGTGTCATTTTTGTGATCTTTTTAGTGCTCTGATTTCTAAATTTTGTTGTTGATATTTATTTTAAGGAAGAGATCTTTTTTTTTGAAGCAGAAAATACAAAGGTATTAGAATACACCCACCTTTAAGCATAATTAGCACAGAGATATAAACAGATGAATAACCAGGGATGCCAAGAGCTCAGTGTTGAGCATTGCAATTTTATTATCAGGTACATTTGAGATTTTTGTTGGAAAAATATAGCAAGACTTTTAAAATTCTTTTAAGAATTTAGAATCTGGAAAGTTTCACTTGATGTTTGTAGTAGTTTAAATGAAAATGGCATGCATAAACTCAGAGAATGGCACTATTTGAAAGGATTAGTATGCGTGGCCTTGTAGAAGGAAGTGTGTCACTGGGGGTTGACTTTGAGATTTCAGAAGCCCAAGCTAGACCCAGGGTCTCTTTCTTTCTGCTGCCTGCAGATCCAAATGTAGAACTCTCAGCTGCTTCTGCAGCACCATGTCTGCCTGTGTGCCACCGTGCTTCCTGCCATGACAATAATGGACTAAACCTCTGAATCTATAAGCTTGCCCCAGTTAAATGTTTTTCTTTATAACAGTTGCCATGGTCATGGTGTTTCTTCACAGCAGTAGAAATTTTTTGTGTATTTTTGTATGTTTGAATTCTGTTGTTGTTGTTTTTCAAATCAGGTTTTCTTTGCTATAGCCCTGTCTGTTCTAGAATTCTCTCTGTAAATCAGGTTGACCTCCAACTCAAGAGATTCACGTGCAACTGCCTCCCGAGTGCTGGGGTTAAAGGCGTGCACCACCACTGCCCTGCTTGAATTCCTGTTTGTAACGTTTTATTTAGATATGATTTCACACATATGGAAAACTTTTAAGACTAGTACAGTAGGTCCCACAGATTTATCTGTTAGATGCCCCATTGCTTTGCCTTCCTAAATTATTTTTTGTATCCTCACTCATCTTTCCTTTCCTCCACATACACTTTCTTCAGATGCTTCAGAGGGGATTTAAACTCCTATACTCCTAATCCTTCAGTGTGTATTTCTGAAGAACAAGGGCATTCTTCTGAACAGTTCATTTTCACATGCCAGCATTTGTCTTAGTGTCTGTGTAACTCCCTCTTCTTACCCCAGGCCAGAATACAATCCAAGATGATGTCCTGCCCTTAGGGTCATATGTTCCTTTAAGCATGTCGCTCACCTTCCCTTCGGATTACTGTGATCAGTCTGAAGCATTCAGATAAGCTAGTGAGTTGGGAATGTTGCTCTGTCAGCTGTTTGGTGTTCCCATTCAGATTTGCTTCCACATTATGAGATGTATTTAGTGGGATAAAAGAGCTGGACAGCACCTTACAGTTTAGTTTGTGCCTTACTTGTTGAGATTAGCTTTCTCATTTAGTTAAATTAGAGTATAAGGTTTATTCCACAGTGAAGTTACATTTCTTTCACTCTATTTTTTATAAGAAATTTATAAAGAGATACATTGAGACTACAAATGGCATGCCCTTCTTTAAATCTTCACCCACTAGTTCTAGCAAACATGATTTTCAAACTCTTTTTAAGTTTGTTCTTTGACAGTGTATGCATGTATGGAATGCATTCTGATTATTCCTTCCCCATACCCTTCTTTTTCCCTCTCCCATCTTGAACCACCACCACCTGCCATCTTGCCCTAAAGTTCCTTTTCCAGATTCAGGGCTTATCTTGTTTGGTTCTGTGACCTGAGTTTAACCAGAGCCCCCTGTGGTATAAGTTTGGTACAATTCATTGGAAGTTGTACAGATTGCTGATGGGTAAAAAACTACAATAAATGACTTCCTTCTCCTAGGATCTAGCAGTAGCCAATACTTTAACGGAGGGAGGATGGACTGGTCCTCTTGAGACCCTTCCCCATCCATGCCTGGCTTTTGACAGTTTTTATAGAGACCCAGTTCAGGTAACCAGCTGCTGTGAGTTTATTATAATTTTTGTTTCTTTTTTTATTTTCCCCTTTATTAAACATAGTTTCTTTTCTCATACAATATAATCTAAATACAGTTTTTCCTTCCTCTACTTCTCCCAGTTTCTCCCCATATCCTCTCCCATCCAGATCCACTCCCTTTCTGTCTCTTCATTAGAAAGAACTGTTATCTAAGAAATAACAAAGCATAACAAAATAAAGTATACTAAGAAAACCATGATATTGAAGTTGGAGGAGCCAAGACAACAGAAAAATAAAAGAACCCCCGAGAGAAGACACAAGAATCAGAGACTCACTTGTTTACACATTCAGGAGTCCCATGAAAGTACTAAATAGAGAGTTATAGTATGCATGCAGCGGACCTAGTGCGGACCTGTGTAGGTCCTATGATTGCTGCTTCAGTCTCTGTGAATGCATATGAGGCATGCTCACTTATTTTAGAGGACCTTGTTCGCCTGGTGTCTTCTGTCCCTTCCATCTCCTTGACTCCTTCCAACTCTTTTACAAGGTTCCCTATGCCCTAAGGGGAGGGATTTGATGGAGATATCTTGTTTAGAGTTGTGTGTTCCAAGGTGTCTTTCTCTGTGTAATGTCTGCTTGTGGGTCTCTGTATTGGTTCTATCTGCTGAAGGAGGAAGCCTCTCAGATGATGACTAAATAAGGTACTAATCATAATTATAATGTCTTGCTTGAAGATGACACTTTGCAGCCTTTCTCCCTGTCTACCATTCTTTCTGCCTCCTCTTCCACACTATTCCCCAAGCCTCAGAAGGATGGTACAATGTCTTGTTTAGGAGTGTAATTTTTAAATATTATTTATTATTATTATTATTATTATTATTATTATTATTATTGTGTATGTATATAATGTGGAGGACATACAGGTGTCACAGCTTACATCTAGGTAAGTTGACAACTTTGGGGGGGAAATCAGTTCTCTCCTTCCACTGTGAATTTCAGGTTTGGAACTCATATCATCCGGCTTGAGTGACAGGCAATCAATAGACATCTTCTCTTTTTATTCATTGACTCTGATGCAAGCAAAGAAGAGCTGTCTCCTCTCTTATTTCTTCACTTGTTTCCACCACTATGACTTTTTTGGTTCTTCATTTTCTCAGTGGTTAGAATTCATCATTGTCACTTTGTTGAGAGCAGATATAGCCAGTAAGAGACCTTCAAGCCAACTCCTGGGTCTTTTTGATAAGTCCCTCTCATTCTTGGAGCATTTCCTTACTCTGTTACAAGCTAGTTCAGATTCATTGCTATTTCATCTGTTTCAGCTTTGTGTCTTAAGTAGAGAATAAGGTGTGTGTGTACATGTGCATGTGTGTATGTTGAAAGAAACTATACTATGGAATAGTGCATTTACTGAATCACTATATACAGTATTATGAATGTATAAGTGTTTAATGTTCTGAGTTCAAACACAAGCATTTATTTTACATGTAATAATCATAAGTTTTGACAAGAAAGAAATACATTTTTCATTTCAGAGTAAATGGTATTACAGTTTTGAGTACTAAATCATCTTGACATTTATGAAGGAGCAAATGGAAAGTAGGGAATGAGTGTTAAATATAAAGCTATCTTTAACTGTTCTATTAAAAAGGCAAAGATTTATTTTCCATCTGTGAATGTGAATGTGCCTATTTGTGTTCTTGTTCACATAGTGGAATTTCTGTGGAGCCACACTACAGAGAGCATGTGCGTGGGATATATGTCAGCCCAGGATGGAAAAGCCAAGGTAAGCGGGAAAACTGGGTCATAACCTGAAAACCTTGTAGCTGGTGCATAAACTTCGAACCAGTCTGTTGAAACAGACGACTTTTCTACCTCCTGACCACTGAGCTTCATTTAAAACACTGTTCACAGTTCCAAAGAAAAACCAATAGATTTTAAAAATGCTTCTCATGATAGACCAAAATGAATTGGGAAACCTCCTTCCTTTCTTCTTTCATTTTGTTCCCTTTGCCCGCTGTGAATACCCATGAAGAGGAAACTCAGGATTTTTAAGAGATAATGAGAATAAAGCTGACAAACTGACCAAGATCTGCAACTCCTCAAGGAAGGTTGAAAAATATAAAGGAGACAGGCGATATAAAAGTAGTCCGGGATGTGTCTCCACATCTTTCAGAACAGAGTGACTGACGTACTTGTGGGTTTCACTCATGCTCTCTTGTCTGTCGTCTGTTGCGCCCTGTTGTGTGTCTACACGGGCTTTGTCTCTCTGTGCCACATGAATTGCCATGAGTCACAGTAGTCATATAGTCATCCAGGCATCAGTTCCTGAGTTGCTGGGTCTCCATGACCTTAGAATTTTTGATCTTGAGAGTAAAAGAAATATGATTTGTAGGTTTATTTTTATATTCGCCTCATGTTCCTGTTCATGAAAGTTTTAGGAACAGCTGTGGTGTATGACATTTATTTGGCATTAAAGCACCTCGGCTGCATATTTATGAAGTTGGGCAGCCTCTTTTTTAAAAGGAAAGTATTTGCATATTTAGAAATTGCAAATAAACTTATGATATGTGTCGTCTGATTCACATTGAGTAGTTTAAAAAAATGGAGAAAGTTAACTAAAGAGTACAGTGATATATCATATAAGCATTTTGAACAGCAACAAACCATGTGTATGACAGTAGTCACATAAGATTACATGGCCTAGTGATGTCATACCTATGATGCTCACTCAGTGATAAAATGACCTACTGACAAATTTCCCAGTTAGATAACACTTGACTATAGTTGATTGCTCATTTCTTATATAGTACTCATCCATAAGTATATTATCTAGTAAATCAGTAGGTTCACAGACTGTCTATGAACGCATTGTATAGGAACATTTTCACAGCAACAGAGTGACTGGCATTTGTGAAATATTACTGAACTCTCCCCTCCCATTGTCTCACCTTCATCTGATAAAACTTGTATTTTGTATCAGTAGACCTATTGCATAAGAGAATTTTTAGATTGCTTTGCTTCATTATCTTTCTGAAATAGAATTGTAATTGTGTACTTTAAAGTTGATTGACATGCTTGGAGCAGCATTACAGGCTTTGTCACAGTAGTTGAAACAGTGATATCTGTGTCATTCTAGTAGGGCAGCCAGAGCTACATGGAGAAATTATTGAGTATTTGTAATGTGACTGCTATAGCTGAAGAACTGAATTTTAAACTATACTTAATTTCTTAACAGCCACATGTGGCTAGTAACTACTATATTGAGTAGCATAGTAAAGGAGTGGAAAATGGTTATTCAGATATTTCCAAAACATGTATGACAGCACTTCCAAACAGGAAGCAAACTTAATAAGCCACAGGAGTTCCTTGTAGCCATTTAAGTTTTCTCTTCCACTTTGAATACTGATCTTGAACTAAGATCGTGTTTGAACAAAAGATCATGATGAGGGTAGGCTTCAACACCGAGGCCAGTTGGGTGAAGTAGGTTTTGGGAAGGACAGGGTGGTGTACCAAGTCCTTTGAGTGGAAGTGCCTGCTTTTCCTGCCTGTCATCTGTGGAAGACACCCTGCCATTTAACATGCAGTGCAGATAGTAAAGAAATACAGATGCCTGAGTTGGATCTAGAGCTGTTTGACAAGGTCAACTTCAGTTGTGCTGCTTGGCATATGAGGGGTGTGATTTTAGTATTATCTGTAAAGGCTCCCCCTGGTAATGTGGAGGTAATATGGATTGGGCCAGCGGGTATATAGCTCATTTGTAAATTATGTTTTTAACCATTTTCTTTTCAGAGTGTTAATCCTTCTTACTTTCTTTATTGTTTGAGCTATTATCTATAAATGCTTTCCAGGAAAATAAAACAAAGTAGTAAGACATCAGCACTTTGATTGCTCAATTCTGTTGTTTGAAACAATGACAGCACACACAAAAACCAACAAAATTGTTCTTTTGTCACAAATGCAGGGGTTTTATTGTGTTGCAAGTGTGACAGAAGTTATAGATGAGACTGTGGGTTCAAAAGGACAAAGAAAAAGGGCCTTAGCAACATATGTATTCCAGTAAGAGTGGCAGCCTTTGCCTACCTGGTCACTTCACCCAGGGTTCCTGGCTTCTGTCAAGAGTTGTTGTATAGGGACCTCACTGTTTATCATGAAATTATTCTCTCCATAATACAAGGTGTAGTAGTAAGATTGATAGGAAGAAGCTTTAGAAACTGTTCTTTTTATTTAAAACCTGTTTTGTTTTGTTTTCTTGTTTTTTGAAGAAAAAAAATGTTCTATTTCCCCAAATTTCCCTCCTTTTCCTTGTTACCAAACAGGAAACTTAAAAGCATTTGAACTTTTCATATAAGGCTATGATTAATTCACGTTAAAGCCTTGCGTTAAAGCTCTCCTCACAGCCTCACTGCCCAGGAAAAGGAAAGGAATGACTGGTGGTTGTCATCAGAATCAGAGGTAATTTGAATGAAAATGGGTTCTTAGTACATGTTTCTGTTTTCTTTTGAAAATAATATTTTCTAAAATATAAAGAAAAGAACATTTTTGTATTATTTAATTTATAACTCCCTTCTCTGACATAAAATAAATAAACTTATTTTTATGGAGCAAACAGAGCATTGACATTAGTTAGGTTTAAAAATTGTATTGCCCATTTTCTATAGTGACTGGACTGTTAATGAGCAGTTCTTCATAAATACTCAATGCACATAGTGTAGTGCAATAAAACGTATTTAAACTGGCATGGAATTGATTCGGGCACATAACTCTCACCCTAAATGAATTAGGTTTCTTTTACATGTAGAGGTTACTTTTCGTAACAACAGTATAAATACTGTTATAAAATTTATCCTTGAGGAGGAATGGGCTATTTTATAGTTTGAATATCTCTCTAGAGATTTATTATTAATTGTGGAGAAAAAATAGTAATTGCATAGTGGAGAAAAAAGCAACACTGAAACTATGTGTTCAGAATTAGGGCCACCATTGAGGAACAGGTAGACAGTGTATGTGCCTCTGGATGTGACAGCCTGAGAAGGACAGTGTCACTTGTGTAGTCGTCCATTTGGAATTACATAGCATGAACTTAATGACAGGGAAACAGACAAATCAAGAATGAAGAGCGGACTGGGAAGAAAGTAAAAGGGAATGATGCTATATAAAACTGTTAAATGCTATAAAAGATAAGGACTGAGAAGGTGTTCCAGATTGAGTACTACTAAAGAAATGTTACCAGTAAATGTTTTAACTTAGCTTAAAGTGACTTCTATATATAAGACCAAAATACTGTAGTACATTTTAGGTCAATTCGCAAAATATGGCTTTGAAATTTGAAATATGGCTAGCAAAAATGGTTGCATTGTTGTTAAATTCACTAACATTGATATATATAGTATGATTTATAGGGACATATTTATACTTTTAGGCAACACACCCTGAAGTATCTATCTAGGCAAGTGGGGACCTGTATATATAAAATTGGTGTTTCCGAAAAGTATTATGTTAGTGAATATGTGTTTAGTAAATTACCAAGTAAGTGGAACAAAATGTTGACAATAGGTAAATATTGGTAAATGTTACAGGATACTCAAACTATTCCGTAATTTTTTTAAAGTTATTTTAAGGTAAAATGCTTCAAAATATATCACTTGCATGCAAGTCAGATCTGAGTGTTTGTGAGCCTTGAACTCAAGCCTTGGTTTATAACCTCTTCTGCATTGGATGAGTGGCTACACTCTAAACATCCTCTAAACTGCTGTCTTTCCTTGTTTTCTGGCTGGAGCTGAGAGCTGAGACTTTGTCATTATCAACATGCCTCACATCAGAGTATCTTCTCGAAGATTATCCAGCCGTTGGCTTTAAACATTTTAGCTACTTAGGAAATATTTACTTGTATTATCCTCTGCTCTGTGTGTCAAGCTATGTTCATATTTGACAGATGTCGCCCATGTCATTATTTCCCTTGGATTAGGCAGTGCTTGTTTTAAATATGATCCCTAAAGCACATGCAACAAAAGGGAAAATAAATTATCAGTATTAAGACCTTTGTTGCAAAAGTCTTGTTAAAGAAGTGAAAGACAGCCCATAGAATAGGAAAACATGTTTATTAACAATGCCATTGGTGAGGGACTTGCATCAGTTCAGAATAAATTTAATATTCTTGTAATTCAACAAGAAGATGCAAATAAGCATTTTTCCAGTGGAGATATACAAGCAGCAAGTAAGCATATGGAAATATGCTTACTGTCAATATTCATAGGGGAACTGCAAATCAAAACCATAATTTGATTCTACTTCTCATCCAACATAATGTCTATAGAGAAGAAGAATGAGTTCATTAGGACAAAAGAAGTATTCATTAGAAAAAATAGAGCCTTCATATACTGCTGGTAGGAGTGTGGAAATGGTGTTTACTTTTTGGAAAAACAGCATGATAGTTTCTCAGAAAGTTTTAACAGAATTGCCACATTCCCTAGCAGGTTCTCTCTTAGGTATATACTAAAGACAATTACGAAGAAGATGTTTATAGCAGCATTATTCATAGTAGTTAAAAAGTAGGAACAAGCCGGGCGGGAGGCAGAGCCAGGAGGATCTCTGTGAGTTCGAGGCCAGCCTGGACTACCAAGTGAGTTCCAGGAAAGGCGCAAAGCTACACAGAGAAACCCTGTCTTGAAAAACCAAAAAAAAAAAAAAAAAAAAAAAAAAAAGTAGGAACAACTTAATATCTGTCAACTGATGGATGGATGTGTTGTATTCATGCAATGAATTTTTTTTTTTGTAACTACAAAA